AAAGTGCTGGGATTACAGGTGTGAGCCACTGCACCTAGCCTACTCAGACTTTTTCAATGGCTTTTGTCTTTCTGAAGAATAAAATCCACTCATTAAGGCTGGGCATGGTGGCTCACATCTGTAATCCCAGCACTTTGGGAGGCCGAGGCGGGCAGATCACTTGAGGTCAGGAGTTTGAGACCAGCCTGCCCAACATGGTGAAACCCTATCTCTACTAAAGATACAAAAATTATGCGGGGGCTTGGTGGCGTGTGTCTGTAGTCCCAGCTACTCAGGAGGCGGAGTCAGGAGAATCGCTTGAACCCAGGAGGCAGAGGTTGCAGTAGGGGCAACCTGGGAGTTGAGATCACTGCACTCCAACCTGGGTTAGACTTCATCAAAAAAAAAATAATAATAATAATTCCACTCATTAGCCTGACTTTCAATGTTCTTTGTAACCTCTCTTTGTGGTCTTATTTCTTCTGGTTCTAAAACTTGACTCACCTGCCACGGTCAAAGTGGAGTCCTCCTGGCCCTCTACTCTACCCACCTGGCTGTGGCCATGCCATTTCCCCAAAATGAGACCCTGCTCTGTGACATCCTTCTTTCTCCATAATGCTTTCTCCAACCAGCTCAATCTAAGGGCTCTCTTCTTCAGGTGACAGGTATCATTTAATGATGGGGTATTGTTTACTTTTATGCCTTTATCTTATTTGCTTGATTAAATTATTATGTTCACAAAATCTGAGGTCTATTTCTCTTTGTACAACCCCATGTCCCCGGACCCCGCCTGTACCTTGTACACAGCTTGTATTTATTTTTGCAACAAAATACCTATCAGGTGCCAGGTCCTCGCTTTCACTGTAGGGGCACTACAGTGAAAAGACCAAGAGATGGTCTCTGCCTCCATGGACTAAAATATCTGCTGATGATGATGCTAAGGAAAATGAATGCATCTGAAATGCATCCTATTTAAATGATTCAACCACATCTTGCTGGAATTCAGCACATTTCTGACAAGCAGTCAGGACTCAGTAGCTGCTAAGTCCAAAGTCAAATGGGTACAGTTGTTCTAACCCAGAAATGTGCCCAGAAGGTCTGAAGAGTTTTAATGGAGGGCTCAGGACCACCTTGAAACAAAACATATATAGTGATAAAATGTGATAAAGACCCTAGAGAAACGTGGAGTGCAGTGGCACAACCATAGCTCACTGTAGCCTCAAAACTCCTGGGCTCATGCTGGGCGCAGTGGCTCACACCTGTAATCCCAGCACTTTGGGAGGCCGAAGCGGGTGGATTGCCTGAGGTCAGGTTTCGAGATCAGCCTGGCCAACATGGTGAAACCCTGTCTCTACTAAAATTACAAAAATTAGCCTGGCGTGGTGGCGCGCACCTGTAGTCCCAGCTATGTGGGAGGCTGTGGTGGAAGAACTGCTTGAACCCAGGAGGTGGAGGTTGCAATGAGCTGAGATTGTGCCGCTGCACACCAGCCTGGGCGACAAGAGCGAGACTCCGTCTCAAAAAACAAAAACAAAAAAACTCCAGGGCTCAAGTGACCCTCCCACCTCAGCCTCTCAAGTGGCTAGGACTATAGGTATGTTCCACCATGTCCAGCCAATTCTTTTTTATTTTTTAATTTTTATTTATTTATTTTTTGAGACAGCATCCAGGCTGGAGTTCAGTGGCATGGTTTCGGCTCACTGCCACCTCCGCCCCCTGGGTTCAAGCAATTCTTTGCCTCAGTCTCCCGAGTAGCTGGGATAACAGGCACCCGCCATCATGCCCAGCTAATTTTTTTGTATTTTTAGTAGAGACGGGGTTTCACCATATTGGCCAGGCTGGTCTGGAACTCCTGACCTCGTGATCCACCCCCCTCAGCCTCCCAAAGTGCTGGGATTACAGGCGTGAGCCACCGTACCTGGGATAATTTTCATTTTTTGTAGAGACAGGGTCTCACCATGTAGACCAGGCTGTGGACTGCATTTAGATGAGTGGGACCAGATTGCAGTTTTTTTATGAGCTGAGATTACCTGCCACCATGAGAAGCCTCTGTCTGGCCAGCAGTGAAGTTCTGGTGCCAGCTACCCCCTTCCTCTTTTCCCTTGCCTGTATCATCAGAGGTTTACACTTGAAAAACGGATGGGGTTAGGATGAATCTGTAACCCCTGAAGAGAGTTAGAATTACTGAATGTTAAAGCTGAAGGGGAAAATTGAGGTCATCTTATTCAATTCCTCTTTGTAAAATCTTACTCATTTTGCAGAATCGGGAAACATCCCCAAGAGGTGAAGGGACTTGACTGAAGTAGCCCAGTACTGAATCTCCTGCCTTCCAGGGCTCCTGCTGTACAAGCCTACAGGAGAGCATTTTTATTTTATTGAATTTTTTTGAGACGGAGTCTTGCTATGTCACCCAGGCTGAAGTGCAGTGGCACGATCTTGGCTCATTGCAACCTCAGCCTCCTGGGTTCAAGTGATTCTCCTGCCTCAGCCTCCTGAGTAGCTGGGATTACAGGCACTTGCCACCACGCCCGGCTAATTTTTCATTTGTCTGTTTGTATTTTTAGTAAAGACAGGGTTTCACCATGTTGGTCAGGCTGGTTTCAAACTCCTAACCTCGTGATCCACCCTCCCAAAGTGCTGGGATTACAGGCGTCAGCCACCGTGCCCAGCCTTCTCTTCTTTTTTTCCATTCCTTCAGCAGAAGGCCAAACCTTCTGTCTCTGCAAACAAAGCAACTGAGGCCTGAGTTTTGAACTCATTTACGTAGAAGTCTCTATGTTCCAGAATATGAAAGTTTATCTGTCCACTTTGGTTTGTGGCCATGTGAATTTATCTGATGGGTAGGGATATTTTTCAGCTGTGTGCGGATCTAACTGGTGAGGCAAGCTGAGTCATCCTGCCCATCAACCCCTGCTTTACGGATGATGGGATTTAGGCAAATCACTTTGCTTCCCCATTTTCATTGTCAATGTAAAATCAAGGTAAATGTAAAAAAGGGAGTTGAACTAGACTCTGATGAGCTTAGATTTCTTCCTGCCCTAATAGTCTATACTTCTATGATAGCCTTTGACCGTCACTTGCTTTAATCCTTCTAAGCCCTTTGAAGGCAAGGCCCAAGAGTTGGTCTTCTTAAAGCTCTTAGGCCGTATTTGTTAATTTCTGTGTACCGTTAATTGGCTGCACAGTTATGGAAGTCACTGAATCCCGAACTTCTATCATCTGGAAAGCACAGCTTGTCAGGGGAGTCTCTCAAGCCTTTTCCAACTTATAAAACTCAACAATTCTGAATGGGGGTTCCTGGCAGCCATCTTCCCTTCAGCCTAGTGTTCTTCTGGAGGAAGCACAATGACAAAATCCATGGGCAGTTTGGAGGATTTCCTAGTAGCATGTGGTTAAGTGTCCCCTTCACTAAATGGGTATTAACCAGGTGTGGTAGCTCATGCCCGTAATCCCAGCAATTAGGGAGGCTGAAGCAGGCAGACTGCTTGAGCCCAGGAGTTTGAGACCAACCCGGGCAACGTAGTGAGACTGCGTCTCTACAAAAAAATTAAAAAATGAGGTGGGAGGATCGCTTGAGCCTGGGAGGTCGAGGCTGCAATGAGCAGAGATCACTTCCATAATGGGAGGGAGACCCTGCCTCTAAACAAATAAATAAATGGGTATCTTGCCAAAGGCTTGGAAACCCGCTATCCTTGGGAGTTTCACTGTGACTTAATTTGTTGGGAGAAGATTTGGACCGAGGGCATGAAAAAATTGGATTATCGTAGACCATCAGAGTGTTATTCTAGGGGCAGCTCAGAGCAAGGTTCAAAACGCAGGCTCTGGATGGAAATGGGGTGGCTACTGGTGTAGGCAAACCCCGAGCAAAAGCACTGTGGATTTCTCTTCTTCTTAAAGGTGTAGCCTGGAGAACGGCTTTGACAAGCTGTTTCTGGCCCAAGTTGGCAAAACCAGTCTGCATTTGGCTAAAGTTCATTTTCATTCTCTATTAAAAAAAAATTTCCAAACCTAACCTGGATAGCTGCCTCAAGATGTTGAATCACTGGCTACAACCGAGTCACCATTTTACAAGGCTATGGTGTTGAAACCTGAGCCCCTAATTTAAGTGTCCTCCTCAGGAGTTCCACTGAGGAAAGTCCTCTTTCGGAAACCACAGAAGGAAAACTCAGGGTTAGTGGTACTCATTACACTGGAAGGAGCTTTTCCACTTGGCTGCATTGTTTATTTACATTCTGTAAGTTCCTATCTTGGACACTCTTCCCTTAATTATGAGAAGAGGGGTTTCCATTATATCATATGGCCGGATGTATTGTTGACCCCCAAAATGCCACGTAACGGTGCTTGGGACATGGGGAGATGCATCGTTTAGAGATTTCAGCATAAGCACTTGGCATCTTTTTACAAACAAGACACCTATCTTACCATGATTTGCAAAAAACAATCAGATCACTGAGAAATCTCATTCCCGGGGTAGAAACCATCTCCTGCGAGAAGGAGCTGGCACGGAGTGTCTAACCGTGCAAACAAAACCGGCTTCCAGGTTGACAAGTTGTAATTGCTCCTCCCCAGTTGGCTCCGGGGAGCTTTTTCTAAGACTGACGCCCCCCGTGTTTGGTGACATTTTATATACGCCACCTAACAAACTTCTATGACCGGTCTTGCTAGGGTAGGGAGAATAAAAAGAAAAGACGACAACAACCTAGAAGGAAATAACCCATTTCCTCTGCAAAACCATCTTCCCTTGCTACGGAACTGCTCGGCGACACCAGCGCTTTCCTGCGGTTGGCAGCCCGGGAACCTTGAAGTTGCGCGGGACCGGCCGTCAGCCGCTGACAGTTCTGACCGTCCAGGTGGAGGACCCGCGCTCTGCCGGGAAATCCCTGCCTTCCCGCAGGGGGCAAACGGTGGCCGCCCCAGGGAGTGCTGTGTTTGGGGGTCGGGGAGGCAGGGAGCCCCACTTTCCCTCGCGCTGCCTCAGTGGCCGCCCTGCGTGCGCGCGCCAGCCTGGGGAAGGAAGGTACCTCTGACATTTCGCTCCTGCGACGCGCAGGCAACTTCATGCGGAAAATCCGCGGAGGGGCTGAGCCCGGAGCCCCCGACTCTTCCGACGTCCCGGAGCCCCCAACCCGGGGCAGGGGGCACTCAAAGGCCAGGCGTGCCTTTAGGTATCTTCCGGGACCCAACTGTACCAGGGTCACGGACATTCAACTCTCAGCTACCCACATCGGCGCGAGCGCGTCATCCCGGTGGCCCTGGGCATTCCTAACTGTCAGAGCGAATATTTTTGGGAATAACCTCTCCAAAATGTGAAGATGTTCAGTGGTCTCCTCCGCCTCCCATCCCAAAAAAAGGCCCCAACACATATTTTTAAAAAAACAACCCACACCCCACAATCAAACTTTTAAACATGTAAAATAATAAACCAACTCACCAAGTTAGAAGGGAAGAGAATAAACCCCAAAAGGCTCCCAATAAGGCGGAGGCTTGGCCTCCCCCTCCTTATAAGCCGCTCGGTAACATGAGAAAAGGATTAACCCCTTAGGGGGCGGGCCCGACTCTAGCGCAAGTTGGCTCCGGCTGCTGAGGCCGGAGCGCCCGGGCCCTCCACCCACTCCCGCGACTCAGGCACCCGAGCCACACCCTCCCCCCGCCCCCCACCCCGGCCGCCTGCGCCCCGGGCCGTGCGTGCTGCCGCCCGCGCCCCGGCCCCGCGTCGCTGCCTAAGCTCTTATCCTATACCGGCTGCAGCCGGTCTCCGCCGGCCTCGGGGGCGCGCCGCCGCCGACCATGTGCTGCGAGCGCCGAGCGCAGCCAAGGAGGGGGCCTGCCTGGCGCGCGCGCGCCGGCCCACGTGGACCTGGGCCGCGCCGGGCGCGCGCCCGCCCGCCTGCCTCCTGGGCTGGGGGTCACGGAAGGTAACCGCGTCGCGGTCCGGGGCCGGGCCGCCCCCACCAGCGCCTCCGGGGTCCTTGGCACAACGCCCCGATCTCCCAACCCAGGCGCGCCTCTGCGCGCGTGACCCGCCCAGACCCCGGAGCTTTGCTGCAACGCTAGTGGGAGCGCGAGTGTGCAGGGGTGGTGGGGGCGCCTGCACCCTGTCTCGGAGCACCTCGGCCAGGCGCGCGCGCGGGGGTCCCCGTCCTCACCCCCAGGCGCCTTCCCGGCGCGTCCACCGCCCAGTCCCGCCCGCACCCTGAGGATTTAGGGATTTAGCGGGGAGGGGGAACGCGCGCGCCGGGGCTGATTCCGCGCGGCGCTCGCGGCTGCGGCGGCTCCGCGCCCGCCCCGGGCAGAACAGGTTCCTTCCAGTTTGGGTGTGAGCTGCGCGCGCGGCGCCTGAGTTCCTCCTGCAGCGCCCACTTCCCTCAGTTTCGTCAACTCGCGCACCCCCACAGTTCCCCTTCCGGCGGTGGGGAGGGAGTGCCGCAGTGGGCCCCAGGGAGCGAGCGGCCGGGCCGCTGCGGGTGCCTTGCTTCCCCCACTTTGCTGCACCGGCAGCAGCAGCAGCAGCAGCAGCAGCAGCAGCAGTAGCAGCAACAGCATCCGCGTTGCGCGAAAGGAATGTGAGCCGCCGGGCTGAGTCAGCATCCCCGGCCCAGGGCGCGCGCGCACCCTCCAGGCAGAGGCGGCGTCGGCACAGGTGCATGGCTCCCATACCCGCGGGGAGCCCTCTGTAGGGGACCTGAAGGTTTAGACAGTCTGTGCCCCTCATCCCGTAGTCCCCGACCCCAAGGTCACTGTGAACTAAGCGGATGATGCACGCGAAACCCCAGTTACGAGCTCCTCATGGGGACAAAGCATGTGTCAGTTCCTAGACATTTCAGAGCCTGCGGGGGCGCAAACTTAGCTTGTCGGTCTCTACCTCACATCCCGAGGGCAAATTTGGAAACTGCTCGCAAGCGAAGGCCATGTTATTTGCATTCCTCTGCAGACTTTGGCGCCGGCTGCTGCCTTCACTGGGGTTGGGAGAATGTGGTTCTGATGTCAGAAACTCAAGAGAGCCTAGTTTGGGAGTGCGTGCACGGAGGGTCGCCACCGGGAGGAGTCGGCGATCTGAATTTTAATAAAAGCCTTCCTTGCTTGCTGATTTCTCTCACCATTTTGGGATAGGCTCTCCTGAGTTAAATGCCATCCTTTGCTGTTGACAAGTTCTGGTTGTGTAAGTGAGGAGAAGATTCGTTGGTACAGGGTGCCCTGTATGGCCAGTCCTGTACAACCAGGGGGCCGCTGTGTAGCTTTGCAACCTTGTAGACGTAATTTAACCTCGTAGAGCGTTAATTTCTCCAGATCTGTAAAATGGGAATGGAGGTGGTATTCCCAGAATTGGAGGGTTTAATTTATGGTACTTGTAAAGTGCGGATCGCAGTGACTGGCATTTGGTAAGGCCTCAGTACCCATTAGCTCTTGATGCTGTTATGATTTATGCTTTACCAAGGCCAATTAATTGCTGACTCCAACACACTCCCTGTGAGAGCCTTTTCTGAGTTGTTCTTCAAAGGATCCACATATAATGTTATTTAGAAACTGATTTGAACACTTCATGCTAATACAGTGCTGCCTGTAAGATAATCTTTGATATTTAGGATCTTACACTTTAATATTTAGGACCTGTTACTGTATGTATGGAAATGTCGTGTGTAATATGACAGCATATTCTGTGTGTCTTAGGAACCTAAAGTTGCAGCCTGCCATTATATACCTGAGTGACTCGAAGCAAGTCACATAGTCTCCGTACTTCAGTCTCTTGATATAAAAAATTACACAAATTATGCCTAAAGCCTCAGGAGTGAATGAATGATTGGAAAAATCACATCTGAATGTTTGAGCAAGTGAAACCTGGCTTTTGGGGAGCATGATTCTAATAATAATAATAATAATAGATTTTTCTTACTAGTAATATATTACTATTCTTCTATTTTATTAATATTAATCTTTTTTAATGTTTACTTTGTCCTCAACACTGTATTAAGTGCCATACATGTAATTCAATTTTAACCCCATCAGTAACCTTCTGTAGTTGACACTCATTATTCCCATTTTACAGTTGAGGAAAGCTGAGGCACTGAGCACTGGAGGGATTGACCTAAGGTTACACCATGTTTATAGATACACACTAGCGCTTTTTACAACTAGAGCTCATCCAAAGATGACATTTGCCATCTGTGTTTGAATAATGGAGAGGTGGCTGGAAACCCCACCTAAGCACAGCCTTGCTAGTCACAAAAAAGTCACGCAACATGACTTTTGCCCACCCTAGTTAGAGGCTGACTTCACCTTGTTCCCTCAATCCTAGTGAGACCAAGCGTAAAAACCCCTGCTTTTTTAACTTCTCCAGAGAAAGCACTGCATTGCCATGCTAATCAACACCCCCTCGCCCCCAAACAAAACTAACTCTGTTTAGTTCTAAATAAGAACAAAAGAACCTTTGGAGTCTGGAGTACAGGACCAGAAAAATCAGGAAATCAAGTGACGGGCTCAGCTCCCCTCGTAGCCTCTCCCGTTGTGTCTGCCTGATCCCAAGTGGCAGGCAGAGCCCCTTCTTGGCTTTCCTTTACAGTGGGCAAGGCCATCATGATGCCCTTAAGAAGTCCCCCAACATCTTCTTGGGGGAAAATATTGGCTCTTCAGAGCTGTCCCCAAGGCTCCCTCTTCTAGCCCTCTTGCAGGGTCATTTGCATGAGAACAGATTCCTTTGTGTAAAGTTGGCCTGCCTGTTCTCTGTCCACGTTTATAGTCCTTCAAGTCTTCGTGTTGGGTTGCTAGGCAGATATGACCCTGGCTTGCAAATAAGCTCACTGCATTTACCAGCCTGTGAGAACTTCAACTTGGGTAAGTAGACTGAAAGGAATCTGGTCTGGAGCTCTGGAAAGAGGGTCCCGCAAGCCTGCTTTTGGGGGCTGATTCTTCAGGGCAGCCATCACAGAGGGAGAGTGTGTGAAGGGGGCTTCCATGGGAGGCTTCGATGGCTCAACCACCCTTCCATTCTTCCTCTTCCAGTCTCTGTTCCTCCCACCATGCTCCCACCCAAGGGCCTGTGTTCTGGGCGAGTGACTTGTATGCCACTGAAGCAATTTCTTGCTTTACAACTTTAATATCTGCTTCTCCAGTTGGCCAGGAACTTCACACACTCCGCCATGTAGCAACAGTGAACTGATGGTCCAGGTAGTTCTGCTAGGTTTATTTTGTGATTTGTGGTTCCCCACCCCCCCACAAATTTCACAGTTTGTAGGAAGGCAGGGCCCTTCAAACTGGGAAACACACACTTCTGGGGGAATTTAAAGATTTGCCAAGGGGTTCTGAGGCACAGATAGTGATGACGATGATAATAATAATATTACCGAGTTGTGTGCAAGGCTTAGTACGCTTGCTAAGTTAACTGAATTAACATGTGCAAGGGGCTTAGCACTGGTATTGGCTCGTGGTCAGGTTCCCTAACTCTTGGCTGCGACTCTTTCAACCTGTGATTCCTGGGGGATTGAGGAGGATGGTGATCAGGGAAGTCTTCAACTGGCAGAGAGGACCTTGGGAGGACTGGCAGGGGGTACTGAGCCAGGGGAGAGGTGAACAGCATGAGAGGAAGGTAGGAGGTAGGTGAGGCCATTCTGTATTTGGGGACAGTGAGGTCATCTTCCCACTCGTGTGTGTAGGGGCGGGCGATGATTGATTTCGATGTATTGCTGGTGTCTGGCATTAACTCTGGAGTGACTTTTACTTGATCAGTACTGAATTTCATTCCTAGGCTTCTCAGTCTTCATAGTTGACTGCTCCTGTAGTTTTGTCATCTATTACTGCTTAAAAATTAAAAAAAAAAATAGAGAACATAGCCTCCAGGAGGCTTCTATAAATTATCTCAAGGCTGTTGCAAAAGTCCTAAAAAACAAACCCAGGCTGAGTGTGATAATCCTAGTGCTTTTGGCATGAAGGCAGGAGGATTGCTTGAAGGCAGATTGAGACCAGCCTGGGCAATATGGCAAGACACCATATCTAAAACAATTTTTTTTTTTTTTTTTTGAGATAGAGTCTTCCTCTGTTGCCCAGGCTGGAGTGCAGAGGCGTGATCTTGGCTTACTGCAACCTCTGCCTCCCGGGTTCAAGCGATTCTCCTGCCTCAGCCTCCCAAGTAGCTGGGACTACAGGTGTGCACCACCACGCCTGGCTAATTTTTGTACTTTTAGTAGACAGGGTTTCACCATGTTGGCCAGGCTGGTCTCGAACTCCTGGCCTCAGGTGATCCACCCGCCTTGGCCTCCCACAGTGCTGGGATTATAGGCATGAACTGCTGCGCTGGCCTAAAAAATATCTTTTAAAAAAATTAGCTGGGTGTGGTGGTGCTGTCACACCACTGCACTCCAGCCTGGGCAACAGAATAAGATGCTATCTCTAACCAACCGACCAATTCAAAATCTCAGAACAAAAGTATTTAAATCACGTTGCATTTAGGAGTGAATGCATGTCACATGAAACTGTATGACACAGCTGTGGGTCGTGGAATCTCATTGGCAATATTGGGAAGGGCTGCATATGGGACCAGTGAATTTTGCCCGGATAGAGTCACGCTTTCTTCGGATAGTTGTTGAAGTTGCCCCACCTGCCCTGTTCCTCAAGGCCCAAGGAATAAAAAC